GTCAACTGTGTTACAAAAATAGGACATTAAATTGGTGATAAACTGAGTTTAAAAGGATGTTGGTCATTTATCTGTTCCCCATTAAATTGAAATTTGAATATTATAATAATGGTCAATCGAAATGCAAAGAACAAATGTAAAAAAAAATTCTAAACGTGAAATTCTGTCTGAATTTTACATTTCATCACCTCAAAGAGATTCCTTATTCAACTGTCCCATTCTGAATTTTAGGTATTAGGTACATATTCATCTGAAGTTATAATCATGTTAGACTAAATTTATAGCACTTTTTCTTTTTTTGAAAGTTATTTACTAACGACAGTAAGTCTCAGCCCAATAAATTCTATTGTGCACACATACTTAATAAATACAAAGCAACCATATCCCTCCATCTGGTTAGTACCCCAAACCCTTATTAGAATGTCATACATCAATCTCTCTCTCCCTTGCGCCATCTATCACGCTACTTAAATACCTAACAACCTATTTAGGAAGTATCATGTTAGTAAACCCCCCAGGTTAGTGTTGATACTTCAAAAAATAAAAAGATTTTTAAATGAAGTACTAGACATGGAGGGATAAGTATAATTTTTTAAAGAAATTAAAATATTTCATAAACTTAAATGAATTGATGTTACAATTTTCAGTGTAGCCAACTGGTTAGTGGAATAATCTTCAATGAAGATTGCCAGAGACCAAAACTTTGTGGAGCCAAAAACAAAGTTTTTCATGATCATTAAAAAGCCAACCAAAAGAGATAATATTTCATTATCTCATAATTAATAAACTGGAAATTTAGAGGAATAAAAAATAACTTAAATTTCTAAAAGCATTACTGCAGACCTTAATACTGATTCAGAATGAGAAAAAGGTTATAATCAATTAAATAATGAAATAATGTTGAAGAGGGAGAATTTTTTTCATTATCTCATAATTAATAAACTGGAAATTTAGAGGAATAAAAAATAACTTAAATTTCTAAAAGCATTACTGAAGACCTTAATACTGATTCAGAATGAGAAAAAGGTTATAATTAATTAAATAATGAAATAATGTTGAAAAGGGAGAATTTTTTTCATCTGAAAAAAGGAAAAAATGGCATAAGAAAACTATTAAAAAATTTAAAAAAGAACTAAACAAAACTAGAGGCTCTCAAGAGCCTGTGTCGCTCACCTGACTCTACTTTGGTTTTGGAAATCATAATGGATTCCCTAATGATGATTGAGGCCAAATTTGGTTTAATATTGGCCCCGTAATTAAATTAAAAATCTTGGGGTATGACTATTTCCCATAGGGTCATATGTTAAACTAAGTCCCCTGCTGGCAGCCATCTTGAAGGATGGTTCGGCTACAAAGTAACAACACTTAGTCAACACCTCATTAGGAACATTCATGCCATGTTTGGTTTCATTCTATTCAGTGGTTCTCTAGAAGAAAACATTTGTATGTATTTCCCATAGGGTCCTATGTTAAACTTACTCCCCCTGCTGGCAGCCATCATAGATGACAAATCAGCTACAAAGTAACAACACTTGGTCAGCACCTCTAAAGAAACATTCGTACCATGTTTGGTTTCAATCCATTAGGCAGTTTTCTAGAAGAAGACATTTGTATATATTTCCCATATTGTCCTTTGTTAAACTAAGTCCCCCTGCTGGCATCCATCTTGGTTGATGGATTTGCTACAAAGTAACAACACTTGGTCGGCACCTCATAAGGAACATTCATGCCATGTTTGGTTTCATTCCATTTAGTGGTTCTTCAAAAGAAGACTTTTGTATGTATTTCACATAGCTAGGGTCCTTTGTTAAACTAAGTTCCCCTCTGGTAGCCATCTTGGATGATTACTTGGCTACAAAGTAACAACACTTGGTCAGCACCTCATAAGGAAAATTCATGCCATGTTTGGTTTCATTCCATTCATTGGTTCTATAAAAGAAGACATTTGTATGTATTGTCCATGAGGTCCTTATGATGTTAAATAAAGTCCATCTCTGGTGGCCATCTCGGATGATGGATCGGCTTCAAAGTATCAACACTTGGTCAGCAGATCATAAGGAACATTTGTCCCATGTATGGTTTCATTCCATTCAGTGGTTCTCTAAAAGAAGACATTTGCATGTATTTCCCATAGGGTCCTATGTTAAACTAAGTCCCTCTCTGGCGGCCATCTTGGATGACTGATTGGCTTCAAAGTAACAACACTTGGTCAACACCTCATAAAGAACATTCATGCCATGGTTTGTTTCATTTAGTGGTTCTCTAAAAGAAGACATTTGTATGTATTGTCCATTGTCCATTATGGTCCAATGTTAAATGAAGTCCCCTGCTGGCGGCCATCTTGGAAGATGGATCGGCTTCCTTCAAAGTAACAACACTTGGTCAGCACTTCATAAGGAACATTCATGCCATGTTTAGTTTCATTTCATTCAGTGGTTCTCTAAAAGAAGACATTTGTATGTATTGTCCATAGGGTCCTTTTTAAACTTAAGTCCCACGCTGGCGGCCATCTTGGAAGATAGATCGGCTTCAAAGTAACAAAAATTGGTCAGCACCTCATAAGGAAAATTCATGCCATGTTTAGTTTCATTCCATTCAGTGGTTCTCTAAAAGAAGACATTTGTATGTATTGTCCATAGGGTCCTATGTTAAACTAAGTCCCACGCTGGCGGCCATCTTGGATGATGGATCAGCGAAAAAGTAAAAACACTTGGTCAGCACCTCATAAGGAACAATCATGCCATGTTTAATTTCATTCCATTCATTAGTTCTCTAGAAGAAGTTCAAAATGTAAAAAGTTAACGACGACATCGGACAACGACAACAGACGACAGACGCCAAGTGATGAGAAAAGCTCACTTGGCCCTTTGGGCCAGGTGAGCTAAAAATATTGACATTGCTATGGGAACCCTGCCCCTTTTAAGACAGACTTCATACAGGCACTTATCAAGGATAAAAAGAATCAAGCATTATCCCTTAATTTCACATTCCACAATGTAGGCGATCTCTTTTAATATAGATAACTCAAAAGTTGATCACACCTAACCCACTGAACCAGAAGAAGGATACAACAGATACGGCATACTGTGCTTCAAAACTTGCCGTCGCCCAGAAACTATCAGCAAGGACCAGCTGAGAGCTAATAATTTGACAAAAGAGACTTCAATTTCCTGATTGTGAACTTTTCTTATGTAGCAGCAATCCAATTATACCTGAAAATGAATTTCTTGTCTCCTTGCTGATTATTCCACTCTTTGCATCTCATGCATGTAGGTATTTCCTTTAAAAAAACAGTTGCTGCTTATGTTTAAAAAGAAACTTCTTAAACAATGGTTGTTAATGATCAAGTTGATTGAAAGTCACTCTTTACATGATTTATTGATTACAAAAATTCTAGATGTGAAAAAAATAATCATTATACAGTCAAACCTGCCTTAAGGTCACCACCTTGTTTAAGAGGTCAACTATCTCTAACGGTCTCTTGGTGACCCTCTCAAGTATTTTCTCTATATATTTAACTCATTTCAGTCGTCACCTGTCCGATGCGGTCACCTTATTTTATGCACGAAATCATCATTTTACTGTTTTTAATTACAATTATAATCATGATGAAAAATATGTGTGTTCAGTATAAAAATCAAAATGAGAATCGGAACCCGTTTCACGGTTTGCAACATAGATCTTGCAATATGAAGTAAATTTGTGAATCCTTGTATTCCACTCCCTTCAATTAATACCATTGAGAAGCATTTCACAGACTTGTTTATCCAATTATATCAACACCTTTAAATCAATAAATGTCTTCTTCAAATTGACAGTGCAAGAGTTCACCCTTTTATATTTGTCTGCTCACACAAACAAACCATAAATCTTCCAACTAAAACACTAAACCAAGTTGCATTCCCAGCCACAGAAACTCTTTTTAAAGGTCACTTTTCTCGAGCCGTCCCTTTTGACACTTCCCATGAGTGACATGCTTAAAACAGGTTTGACTGTACAAGATCCTTAATACTTATATCTTTATATTCAAATTTTATAAAAACTCAAATCCAACAAATTTTCAGCAGTATCATATTCTTTTCTCCATCTTTTTTTTTTCATTTTTGTCGAGCCTTCGACTTTTGTCGAAAAAGCGAGACATAGCGATCCTACATTCCGTCGGCATCGTCCACAAATATTCACTCTGTGGTTAAAGTTTTTGAAATTTTAATAACTTTCTTAAACTATCCTGGATTTCTACCAAACTAGGACAGAAGCTTGTTTATGATCATAAGATAGTATCAAGAAGTAAATTGTGTAAAAAAAAATTTCCATTTCTATATTTTACATATAAATGGACTTAGTTTTTCTGCCAGGAAACATTACATTCACTCTGTGGTTAAAGTTTTAAAAATTTTAATAACTTTCTTAAACTATCCTGGATTTGTACCAAACTTGGACAGAAGGTTGCATATGATCAATAGCTAGTATCTAGAAGGAAATTTTGTCCCTGTTTTTCCGTATTTTATTGATAAATGGACTTAGTTTTTCTTCCAGTTAACATTACATACAGTCTGCTATTAAAGTTTTTAAAACATTTATTAGATTCATAAACTATCCTGGATTTTTACAAAACTTGGACAGAAGCTTCTTACAATCAAAAGATAGTATCGAGAGGAATATTTTAATTTTTTTTCCCTCATTTTTGTTGAGCCTGCGATTAACAGCAAAAATGGGCGAGACACTGGGTTCCGTGGAACCCTTACAAATTTTTCTTAAATATACTGCTGTCCCAACAAAAGATGTGTAATATAAAGGCTAGATTCATAGGAAATTCTAAAATTTCATATTTTATCAAAATTTTTACCTTAATTGCAATGGCTGTTTAAAAAGAATCTACTGAATAAATAAATTATAATTAGGGTTTAAAAGATAAAGTTGAAAGTCAATTCTTAACATGATTCCTAAACTAAAATTCTGTATGTGGTTAAACTGCAATGAGTCATCTGCAGACTTCCTTTCTGGGAGCATGTGTATTAAAAAATAAAGGAAATAGATCTTCACCCTTATAAAACATACTTTAAAAAATAAAGGTCTAATATAACAAATCTTATAACCAATTTCTTTGAACTCAAATTTAGAGAAACTCAAACCTCTATATCACACAGGTTTTCAGCAGTATCATATTTTTTTCTTCAGTTCTCCACATTTTTTTTTACTTTTTTCATTTTTCTTAAATATACTGCCGCGCCAACAAAAGATGTGTAATATAAAGGCTAGAGTTTTTTTCTGGAATTTCTAATATTTTGATATTTCAGCATAATTTCACCTAAATTTTGGTAGCTTATTAACTTAAAAAGAATCTACTGAATAATTAGGGTTTTTAAAGATAAAGTTGAAAGTCAATTTTGCCCATGATTCATAAACTAAAATTCAGCATGTAGTTAAACTGCAATAAGTCATCTACAGACTTCATTTCTGGGAGCATGTGTATTAAAAGATAAAAGAAATATATCTTCACCGTTATACTTTAAAAAATAAAGGTCTAATATAACAAATCTTATAACCAATTTCTATTAACTCAAATTTAGAGAAACTCAAACCTCTATATCACACAGGTTTTCAGCAGTATCATATTTTTTTCTACAGTTCTCCACATTTTTTTTTTTTAAATATACTGCCGTGCCAACAAAAGATGTGTGATATAAAGGCTAGAGTTTTTTGTGGAAATTCTAATATTTTGATATTTCAGCATAATTTTTTTTTTACTTTTTTCATTTTTCTTATACTGCCGCGCCAACAAAAGATGTGAAATATAAAGGCTAGATTCATGGGAAATTCTAAAATTTCATATTTTATCAAAATGTTTACCTTAATTGCAATGGCTGTTTAAAAAGAATCTACTGAATAATTAGGGTTTTTAAAAGATAAAGTTGAAAGTCAATTTTTCCCATGATTCATAAACTAAAATTCAGCATGTATACGTAGTTAAACTGCAATAAGTCATCTGCCGATTTCATTTCTGGGAGCATGTGTATTAAAAAAATAAAGGAAATAGATCTTCACCCTTATAAAACATACTTTAAAAAATAAAGGTCTAATATAACAAATCTCATAACCAATTTCTTTTAACTCAAATTTAGAGAAACTCAAACCTCTATATCAGACAGGTTTTCAGCAGTATCAGGTCTAATATAACAAATCTCATAACCAATTTCTTTTTAACTCAAATTTAGAGAAACTCAAACCTCTATATCACACAGGTTTTCAGCAGTATCATATTTTTTTCTACAGTTCTCCACATTTTTTTTTTACTTTTTTCTTTTTTTTTTAAATATACTGCCGCGCCAACAAAAGATGTGTGATATAAAGGCTAGAGTTTTTTGTGGAAATTCTAATATTTTGATATTTCAGCATAATTTTTTTTTTACTTTTTTCATTTTTCTTAAATATACTGCCGCGCCAACAAAAGATGTGAAATATAAAGGCTAGATTCATGGGAAATTCTAAAATTTCATATTTTATCAAAATGTTTACCTTAATTGCAATGGCTGTTTAAAAAGAATCTACTGAATAATTAGGGTTTTTAAAAGATAAAGTTGAAAGTCAATTTTTCCCATGATTCATAAACTAAAATTCAGCATGTATACATAGTTAAACTGCAATAAGTCATCTGCCAATTTCATTTCTGGGAGCATGTGTATTAAAAAAATAAAGGAAATAGATCTTCACCCTTATAAAACATACTTTAAAAAATAAAGGTCTAATATAACAAATCTCATAACCAATTTCTTTTAACTCAAATTTAGAGAAACTCAAACCTCTATATCAGACAGGTTTTCAGCAGTATCAGGTCTAATATAACAAATCTCATAACCAATTTCTTTTAACTCAAATTTAGAGAAACTCAAACTTCTATATCACACAGGTTTTCAGCAGTATCATATTTTTTTCTACAGTTCTCCACATTTTTTTTTTACTTTTTTCTTTTTTTTTTAAATATACTGCCGCGCCAACAAAAGATGTGTGATATAAACGCTAGAGTTTTTTGTGGAAATTCTAATATTTTGATATTTCAGCATAATTTTTTTTTTACTTTTTTCATTTTTCTTAAATATACTGCCGCGCCAACAAAAGATGTGAAATATAAAGGCTAGATTCATGGGAAATTCTAAAATTTCATATTTTATCAAAATGTTTACCTTAATTGCAATGGCTGTTTAAAAAGAATCTACTGAATAATTAGGGTTTTTAAAAGATAAAGTTGAAAGTCAATTTTTCCCATGATTCATAAACTAAAATTCAGCATGTATATGTAGTTAAACTGCAATAAATCATCTGCCGATTTCATTTCTGGGAGCATGTGTATAAAAAAAATAAAGGAAATAGATCTTCACCCTTATAAAACATACTTTAAAAAATAAAGGTCTAATATAACAAATCTCATAACCAATTTCTTTTAACTCAAATTTAGAGAAACTCAAACCTCTATATCAGACAGGTTTTCAGCAGTATCAGGTCTAATATAACAAATCTCATAACCAATTTCTTTGAACTCAAATTTAGAGAAACTCAAACCTCTATATCAGACAGGTTTTCAGCAGTATCATATTTTTTTCTTCAGTTCTCCACATTTTTTTTTTTAAAACTTTTTTCATTTTTCTTAAATATACTGCCGCGCCAACAAAAGATGTGTAATATAAAGGCTAGAGTTTTTTTCTGGAATTTCTAATATTTTGATATTTCAGCATAATTTCACCTAAATTTTGGTAGCTACTTAAAAAGAATCTACTGAATAATTAGGGTTTTTAAAGATAAAGTTGAAAGTCAATTTTGCCCATGATTCATAAACTAAAATTCAGCATGTAGTTAAACTGCAATAAGTCATCTACAGACTTCATTTCTGGGAGCATGTGTATTAAAAGATAAAAGAAATATATCTTCACCCTTATACTTTAAAAAATGAAGGTCTAATATAACAAATCTTATAACCAATTTCTATTAACTCAAATTTAGAGAAACTCAAACCTCTATATCACACAGGTTTTCAGCAGTATCATATTTTTTTCTACAGTTCTCCACATTTTATTTTTTTAAATATACTGCCGTGCCAACAAAAGATGTGTGATATAAAGGCTAGAGTTTTTTGTGGAAATTCTAATATTTTGATATTTCAGCATAATTTTTTTTTTACTTTTTTCATTTTTCTTATACTGCCGCGCCAACAAAAGATGTGAAATATAAAGGCTAGATTCATGGGAAATTCTAAAATTTCATATTTTATCAAAATGTTTACCTTAATTGCAATGGCTGTTTAAAAAGAATCTACTGAATAATTAGGGTTTTTAAAAGATAAAGTTGAAAGTCAATTTTTCCCATGATTCATAAACTAAAATTCAGCATGTATACGTAGTTAAACTGCAATAAGTCATCTGCCGATTTCATTTCTGGGAGCATGTGTATTAAAAAAATAAAGGAAATAGATCTTCACCCTTATAAAACATACTTTAAAAAATAAAGGTCTAATATAACAAATCTCATAACCAATTTCTTTTAACTCAAATTTAGAGAAACTCAAACCTCTATATCAGACAGGTTTTCAGCAGTATCAGGTCTAATATAACAAATCTCATAACCAATTTCTTTTAACTCAAATTTAGAGAAACTCAAACCTCTATATCACACAGGTTTTCAGCAGTATCATATTTTTTTCTACAGTTCTCCACATTTTTTTTTTACTTTTTTCTTTTTTTTTTAAATATACTGCCGCGCCAACAAAAGATGTGTGATATAAAGGCTAGAGTTTTTTGTGGAAATTCTAATATTTTGATATTTCAGCATAATTTTTTTTTTACTTTTTTCATTTTTCTTAAATATACTGCCGCGCCAACAAAAGATGTGAAATATAAAGGCTAGATTCATGGGAAATTCTAAAATTTCATATTTTATCAAAATGTTTACCTTAATTGCAATGGCTGTTTAAAAAGAATCTACTGAATAATTAGGGTTTTTAAAAGATAAAGTTGAAAGTCAATTTTTCCCATGATTCATAAACTAAAATTCAGCATGTATACGTAGTTAAACTGCAATAAGTCATCTGCCGATTTCATTTCTGGGAGCATGTGTATAAAAAAAATAAAGGAAATAGATCTTCACCCTTATAAAACATACTTTAAAAAATAAAGGTCTAATATAACAAATCTCATAACCAATTTCTTTTAACTCAAATTTAGAGAAACTCAAACCTCTATATCAGACAGGTTTTCAGCAGTATCAGGTCTAATATAACAAATCTCATAACCAATTTCTTTGAACTCAAATTTAGAGAAACTCAAACCTCTATATCAGACAGGTTTTCAGCAGTATCATATTTTTTTCTTCAGTTCTCCACATTTTTTTTTTTTTAAACTTTTTTCATTTTTCTTAAATATACTGCCGCGCCAACAAAAGATGTGTAATATAAAGGCTAGAGTTTTTTTCTGGAATTTCTAATATTTTGATATTTCAGCATAATTTCGCCTAAATTTTGGTAGCTACTTAAAAAGAATCTACTGAATAATAAGGGTTTTTAAAGATAAAGTTGAAAGTCAATTTTGCCCATGATTCATAAACTAAAATTCAGCATGTAGTTAAACTGCAATAAGTCATCTACAGACTTCATTTCTGGGAGCATGTGTATTAAAAGATAAAAGAAATATATCTTCACCCTTATACTTTAAAAAATAAAGGTCTAATATAACAAATCTTATAACCAATTTCTATTAACTCAAATTTAGAGAAACTCAAACCTCTATATCACACAGGTTTTCAGCAGTATCATATTTTTTTCTACAGTTCTCCACATTTTTTTTTTTTAAATATACTGCCGTGCCAACAAAAGATGTGTGATATAAAGGCTAGAGTTTTTTGTGGAAATTCTAATATTTTGATATTTCAGCATAATTTTTTTTTTACTTTTTTCATTTTTCTTATACTGCCGCGCCAACAAAAGATGTGAAATATAAAGGCTAGATTCATGGGAAATTCTAAAATTTCATATTTTATCAAAATGTTTACCTTAATTGCAATGGCTGTTTAAAAAGAATCTACTGAATAATTAGGGTTTTTAAAAGATAAAGTTGAAAGTCAATTTTTCCCATGATTCATAAACTAAAATTCAGCATGTATACGTAGTTAAACTGCAATAAGTCATCTGCCGATTTCATTTCTGGGAGCATGTGTATTAAAAAAATAAAGGAAATAGATCTTCACCCTTATAAAACATACTTCAAAAAATAAAGGTCTAATATAACAAATCTCACAACCAATTTCTTTTAACTCAAATTTAGAGAAACTCAAACCTCTATATCAGACAGGTTTTCAGCAGTATCAGGTCTAATATAACAAATCTCATAACCAATTTCTTTGAACTCAAATTTAGAGAAACTCAAACCTCTATATCAGACAGGTTTTCTGCAGTATCATATTTTTTTCTTCAGTTCTCCACATTTTTTTTTTTTAAACTTTTTTCATTTTTCTTAAATATACTGCCGTGCCAACAAAAGATGTGTAATATAAAGCTATTTATTCATAAATTTCATATTTTATCAAAATTTTTACCTAAATTTCAATGGCTGCGCAAAAGAATCCACTGAATAATTAGGGTTTTAAAAGATAAAGTTGAAAGTCAATTTTTCCCATGATTCATGAACTAAAATTCAGCATGTAGTTTAAAACTGAAATAAGTCATCTGCAGACTTCATTTATGGGAGCATGTGTATTAAAAAATAAAGGAAATAGATCTTCACCCTTATAAAACATACTTTAAAAAATAAAGGTCTAATATAACAAATCTCATAACCAATTTCTTTGAACTCAAATTTAGAGAAACTCAAGCCTCTATATCAGACAGGTTTTCAGCAGTATCAGGTCTAATATAACAAATCTCATAACCAATTTCTTTTAACTCAAATTTAGAGAAACTCAAACCTCTATATCACACAGGTTTTCAGCAGTATCATATTTTTTTCTACAGTTCTCCACATTTTTTTTTTACTTTTTTCTTTTTTTTTTAAATATACTGCCGCGCCAACAAAAGATGTGTGATATAAAGGCTAGAGTTTTTTGTGGAAATTCTAATATTTTGATATTTCAGCATAATTTCACCTTAATTTTGGTGGCTACTTAAAAAGAAAAATAACTCAATAAGGGACTTTTTAACGGTAAAGTAGAAAGTTGATTCTTCACAGGATTCTGGATGTAGTTGAACTGCAATAAGTCATCTGCAGACTTCATTTCTGGGAACATGTATATTTAGAAAATAAAGGAAATGGATCATCGGCCCTTAAAAACATCCTTTTTTTTAAATGTCTAATTTAATCAATCTCATTACCAATATCTTTAAGTCAAATTTAGAGAATCTCAAACCTCTACATCACAAAACTCTCAGCAGAACTGTCTTCTCAGTACAACATTAGATCTTCCATCTCAAAAGTTTCATCTACGGCTGTCCCCTCCATTATAGTTCCGCTCTATACCAAAAACATCATCTACAATATAAAAATAATTCAATTATTGAAAACTTTAGATTTGTAAACTACTGATACAATTGTAATAGGTGCCATATCCAACTTAGGATAAGCATCCGATTATAAATATCATATGAAGTAAACAATATGTTTAAGCCTATCCATGTTAATAATGACTACACATTCTATAAAAACTTAATTGATCAATTTAAATATAGAGTTAAAAGTATATGTCAAGTTTGAAATGATCTCAACACTTACAGATATTTAAACTGTGCTATGGTATGAAGAGCCTTCCATATACCAAAGTCAATAAGAGAAATAACACAGGTATTTTGTTTTATTTCTAAGGTACGTTATGCTGGTTTCTGCAGTTGGGACAAGTTTTGCTAAAAAATTTGAGAAACTCATGTGCAATGCTCAGAACCAAAACTCGTAAAAAGTGTTCGAATTGGAGCTGTGAGTCACTTATTGTTCTAGAATTATGTCCCTTTCTAACCTGGAAAATTGCACACTAATAGTGACATCAAATGCTCTCAAAAAGTATATTTGCTTAATCATAAACACAAAATATGTGAAAGTTTTGATTGATAAATACTCTTCGTTAGCCACAGACAAGAATAAGTCAGTTTTAGACCAGCATAATAAGAATAAATATGAAAATCAGAAGAACTTCAAGAAGTGGTATAATAATAATTGCCAATGAGACCATTCTCCACTAGAGACCAAAAGACGTAGAAGTTAACAATAATAGCTTTTGGTCACCAAATAGCCTTCAACTTGACAAATGTAAAACAAAAAAATTCAGATGAGAAAACTTACAGCCTGATTTATATGTACAAATTTACCAATAGATGATAAAACAAAATATGATATACAGCAAAAAACAACCACCCCTATATTACAGACTCCTGACTTGGGACAAGCACATTAAAATGTAGTGGGGTTAAACATGTTTGCTGGCATCCAATCCTCCCACTTACTTAATTGGGAGAGTGGTTTAACAGCATAACATTATTATATTAAGAACAAGCTATAAGTGGTTTAACAGCATAACAAGAACAAACTATAACTAGAGGCTCTTTGTTGCTCACCTTGGGTCTATATGCATATTCAACAAAGGATACTCTCCAACATTGTAGATGAGAATAGAATTAATGACAAAAATCTTGGGTTTTTTTTTATCTTATATTGCTGATTCGAAGTCTGTTTAATTTCTCTCTATCTAATTTAGCTTTTGCTCCAAACAAATAAGAGGGTAAAAAAAAATTTCCAAATTTAAGGGCAACAACTCCTGTAAAGATTTATAGTCTACTAATTATATCAGCAAAATTTGACTTGTTAGTAGGTCTTGTCTTGCTAATCATTTTTGATTATTTAAGTTTCTATCTATCTATTATAATTTTTATCATATAATGCAAAATGCCAAAAAAATGGTAAAATTCGTCATTAAAGGGCAATCACTCCAATAAGGAGTATTTGGACAACTTCCATCATTCGTCTTAATTGTAGATCTTGTCTTGCTGATCATTTTTTGTTTATATAAGTTTCTTTTTATCTATTATAAGTTATAAAATATAAAACAAAAACACAAAAAAAATTGTACAAATCGTCATGAAAGGGCATCAACTACTCTAATCAGAAGTCAAATGACTATTTCATACTACCCTTCTGATCATTTTTGCAGTTTAAAGTTTCTCTCTGTCTATATAGTTTTCAATATAATAGGCAAATATGAAAAAATTCAAAACAAGAGGCTCTCAAGAGCCTGAATCGCTCATCTGTAATTTTTTGCTTAAATCTTTCATCAATGATTATTTTTGCTTTTCAATATAAACTAATGAATGGCTTAAAACTTCCATTGAAATGTTCTAAGTATCTGTCATATTTTCTTCAAAATCAAAGAAATACATATTTCTTTTTACACAGATGTTTCATTTTAGCCACAGTGGCAATGTTTCTTCGACGTACAAGAAAATAAAATACAAAATTTATACTAGATACTCTGAAACTCATTCATCCCAAGTTTGGTTTCAAAGGAGATTTTTTAAAGTAAGCAAACATTTTCACTGAACTAGTATACATATTTGTTTAGGGGCCAGTTGAAGGACACCTCCAGGTGCGGGAGTTTCTCGCTCCATTGAAGACCTATTGGTGGCCTTCAGCTGTTGTCTGCTCTATGGTCGGGTTGTTGTCTCTTTGACACATTCCCCATTTCCATTCTCAATTTTAAACTAAATTAATAAATTGTGAAAAATTGATTTTAAAGGGCAATAACTCCTTAAGGGGACAATTGTCAATTTTGGTCATATGAACTTATTTATAGATCTTGGCAGCTATATTTTTTGACGAAACAGAAAATAAAACACAATCTTTATTCTAGATACCCTAAGGATCATTCAGCTTATTTGTGGTTGAAATTGGTTCAGTAGTTTCAGAAGAGAAGATTTTTTAAAGTTAGAAAACATGATAAACAAATTGTGTAAAATTGTCCTCAAAAGGCAATACTCCTAAGGGGTCAATTGACAATTTTGGTCATATAAACTTATTTGTAGATCTTACTTTGCTGAACATATTTGCTGGTTACAGTTTATCTTTATCATTAATACTATTCAAGATAATAACCAAAAACTGCAAAATTTCCTTAAAATTACCAATTTAGTGACAGCAACCCAACAATGGGTTATTAGATTCATCTGAAAATTTCAGAGCTGATAGAACTTCACCTAATGAACTCTTTTACCCCATGTCAGATTTGTTCTAACTCCTTTGGTTTTTAGATATAAGCCAAAAACTGCATTTTACCCCTATGTTCTATTTTTAGCCATGGTGGCCATTTTTGATTATGAAACAGAAAATTAAACACAAACTTTATTCAAGATACCCTAAGGATCATTCAGCTTAAGTTTGGTTGGACTTGGTTCAGTAGTTTCAGAGGAGAAGATGTTTGAAATAGTTCACACCAGACGGACGACGACGACAAGTGATGACTAAAGCACACAGTTCCTTTCGGAACGGTGAGCTGGCCCGAGAACACAGTTATTTCGTAGTGCATTTCTTTTAGACAATAAATTCAAATTAAAAAAATCGCACCCGCTCTATCTCAAAAAGATTTTCACAGTGTAGTGTACTACTATTGATACAAATAATATCAAAATTATAGAAACTTCTACTAGCTCTAACTCAAAATATTGACAATTCTGTGTTAAGGGGGGCTAAAACTCAGTTTGACAGCTTCAGACATTCTAATTTTTGACCTTTTGTAACTGGACCAAATCACTACTTAACATAAAGATTCAGCACCCAAATTTTTTTAACATGTAATTTCATCCCCTTACTTAATATTTCATGCATAAAATATCAAGAAATAAATTGGGAAAGTGTATAAAAAAAAAATGCAAGTTATACACTGTTCACACTAGGGACTATATTCGTAGACAACGAAAACCGAAGGACGATAACTGTGTCCTTGGACCTAATAGGATAGAAAGACTTGACCAATTTTAATAAAACTTTGCATGACCTAAGCTTAGGCAATTATAAGATAGTTGGCCAAGTTTCATGGCCATAGGATATATATTATAGAGTCTAGGGCCATTTTAATATTGAAATTTGGTGGTTTATTTTTTACGTTTAAATCAAATATTTTCAACTGTCAAGATTTTGGCCTAAAAAATTTAAATATTGCAAAAATTTGCTTTTTAAATACTCTTGAATTTAATATAATAAGTATTAAAAGCAACGGAACACTCATTTGATTTATCAGATTTATTACAGTTATTCAAAAGTCAAATTTATATGATCCTGTGCCTGAAAAATAGAGATTTTCGAATAAAGGGAAGCCTTACATAAACATGCATTTTTTCAACCAATTTGAAGTTTTTGAAGTTTTTTAACCATACATTATTCTTCCATATATATTAAATGTACTTTAAATGTAAAGAAAAGTTACAAAAAGCATACCACATGAGTATAAAATGGTCTTAGGCCATGTAAGACTGAGAATTATTTAGAGTCGATTTAGGCCGTAGCCCATATTTACATATAAAAATGCACACAGAGGCTATAAGAAATTGAAATTTGTTACTTTTTGCTCATTTCTATGCTAAGATGTCCTGATACAAGAAGTCTAATTGCAAAAGGACTCTTGAATTCAACTTTTTTTTGCAGACAGTATGGTCTGATGACCAGTTTTTCACTTTTCAATGGAAAACTTGCATGTAGTTTTAGTCTCATTTGGCATATATTTGAACCACTTACTATCCTAAAGAAGAAAATTATGGTAGCATATGAAATGAATAGGGTGTACTGATCATTGTAAAGTGTTTTTTTTTTTACAGATTTAGTGAAATATTTGTGATGGACTACAGATTGTATGTACAAAGCTCTTCACATTTCACATACATCAAACAGGCCGTTTAACCAGGGACATACATACAAATATTCTGCACATTTTTTCTGTGATAATCTACTTT